CCCGAAAAGATGTCCATGGCCAATTTGACAACGGCAAATCCGACAAAAACATTCATACCCAAACTGCGTGCCACGCCCGAGTTGCTTGTGCTGCTACAGCAAGCTATGGAATATTACACGCATGCAACGGAAAATTATTTGCTCGACAATAAATTGTTGTTGGCGCAACGCGTCGCCTCGTTGGCCGAAATGGTGGCTGTGCAAATTGATTTGGCCAGCAAAGCCTTGGATCGCAACGCCATGGARACGCATCTATGTGTGTGTGTGGTGAATGTGCAGACGCGTGAGGAATTTCGTGAACTGATCAATGCGGAGCTGAGGTGAGTGGATGTTGCATGACTTTTAAGAACTATGTGTATGTATAAGTAAATCTGAAATAACCGACCAACGGTAAATGTTATGAAAACCACATTCACGTCGAATTAAGATTATTTATTAAAGAAAAAAATTTTTTGGAATTTGATCCATCTGTTTGTATGGCAGATATATGCTATAGTGATCCGATATCGGTCATCCTCCTGGCTCCTTGGAGAGAAAAGCATATGTGGAAATTTTCAGAACGATATTTCAAAAACTGCCAGACAACGGACATACCTAACTCGACTCAGCTCGTCTCGCTGGTTATTTACATATGTACACATGTACATATAAATTATATAAGTAGTCTTTTATGTTTACTTCTTGTTCTTTTCAGAGTATAATTATAAATAATTTGAAAAAAGACTTGATATAAAGTTACTTAAAATTTTTTTCTATATTTATTTTTTATTTCGTTGAAATTGTTTGTACAAATCATTTTCACATTTCAGGAAATACAAATACCTATTCTAACGCATATAATTTCTAATACAATCTTTTTCGTACGCTAGCCTAAAATTTTTTCACTAAAACCTAAAAATTCAGGGACACAAAAACTACTGCATACAAATATTTAGTTCACACTTATGCATTTTTTTTTTTTATTTTAGCTTGTTAGCTAATTAATTTAATTTGTATATATTTTTTTTTGAAATTCAATATTTTGTATTTTTTTTTTGTTTTTTTTTTTTGTTTGCTTCGATAGGTTAATACTATAGCTAATGTTTTAAAAATTGACACTGGTTTTGTAGAAAAATTCACACTATGTACGTACGTATGTATATTTATGACAAATTTCTTTGAATTTCATATTTTTGTTGTTATAATAATAAATGCAAATGTATGTATATGTATTTTTTTTTTTTTGTTTTGGTTTTGTATATTTTTTGGACATATTTTATTTTATTTATTTTTTTTTGGATTTTCTGTATACTTATATTTTTGAATTGTTTGTCTTGTATTTTCTTTTTATGGATTTCTTTAAAAATACTATTTTTCTTACATATTTTCTTATTATATTTCAGCGTGCCGCAGACGCTTATACTCAGTCGCGCTTGCGGCTTCGACATAAACTGGGCTGAAGTGCTGCTCTCGCAATATGTTATACTCGGGCATGCGCATTATTTGCAGGAATATTTGCAGCATTTACAGATCAATGATAATATCATTGAGAATACCGTTAAAGGGTGGGTACGGTTACTAATTTATAGAAATACATACATATATATTATAGAACAATGTATTTTTACGTTTACATTTATAAAAGCTAATTTTTTATATTTTTTATTGTAATTGAACATTTTTTAATTTAAAATTTTTT